ACTTCTACTATATACCTCCTACGCCTACTACTAGTACTACTTCTACTAGTACTAGTACTAGTACTAGTACGTAGTAGTAGTAGTAGTAGTAGTAGTAGTAGTAGTACTACTACTACTACTACTACTGCTACTCTTTCTGCCACTGCCACTGCTGCTGCTACTGCTACTGCTAGTGCTACTGCTACTACTACTACTACTACTACTACTACTGCTACTACTACTACTACGACGACGACTACTTCTGATAAATATATATATATATTTATTTATTTATTTATTTATAGAATATATAGTTACTTGTACACATTTGTTTCTACAGTATACATTGGATATAGCACACATACATACATGAATATGGGTGTGTATATATCTATATAAGAGTATAAATGTGTATATACATATGCACATATGTCTGTACATACTCGGTTTACCGAAGCAAAAATTCAATGCAAGTATATACCTACCCATATATATATATATATATATAGGTTGTACAATACGTATGTATCTGTACATACATGCTGTATAGTATAGGTTATCTTCTGCGATTTCGTACGTATTATATTGCCTGTTTATACTGAGTGTGCATTATTAAAACGGTGTGCAAAATCAACATACACATAGAATACAATTTGTATATATATATGAGCCCGATACCTTTAGGGTATATTTAACTAGCTTTTTAAATATGCAATAGCAAACGCTTAGCTAAATAATATATAACCATATCGTAAATTATACAAACATAAACCCGGAAAGTTTCAGTCTAGTTCACACATGTAAATTAATAGAGACTTTGTTTAATGTAATGACATTGTTGGACAGCTGTCTAAGTTTGATATAGACCGTCATTTACTACTATTCCTGCTACTACTAGCATGACTATTGCTAACACGCGAGGGCTTGGTACTGAACGTATGATATATATATATATATATGTTCAACTCACATAGCATGTTCAAGTAGTGGTTGACTGATACGTCATACCCATACGATGTTCAGAAATCCTTGCGTTCCTCTGCATGCCAATTCGGACCCCTCGTTATTCATTGGAGAGACTGACGTCTAGTTGTCTGTGCAGTCGGGAATGGCTTAAATCCTCATGTTCGTTAGAACAGTAGCACTTTAGCTGACACTGCATCTCATGATCCGGCTTGATACGGATGATGTGACATAAATGCTCACCACACAGAGCTTGTGAAGTAGTGGTTGGAACATTAGAACTTTAGCTAGCACTGCATCGCGTGATCTGTTCTGACACGGATGATGTGACTAATATGCTCACCACACAGAGCTTGTTGATGTAGTGGTTGGCTGATAAGTCATCGCAGTCAGGTATGTAGTAACCATTGGGGTCCATTGCAGGCAGACACGCAGCATGAATCGTTTTCTCGAGAAAGAAGATCGTCGAGTTGTCTGTGCAGTCGGAATGGCTCAATCCTCATGTTCGTTAGACTACTAGCTCTTTAGCTAGTACGGCAGCTTGTGATTATATATACAGTTTCTGAAGTCGGAGTTGCATTGCGTGAGGAGCACAATGCTATAGCACTGCAACACAACAGTCCACACTGTCGTCCCGCACCCTGAACATGTTCAGGCCTAATAATCCGGATCCGCCCGACCTCATCTTGCTCTTGACGTCGCGTCTCGGTCTCCTGTCACGACACAAGATTGATATGTGCAATATATTGCAGTATCTCATATATCCTGCTGCACACAGACTTCCTTTATTACCTCAGATAGGCGACATATGCTTTAGTCCCCCGCTGAACGTTTCACGCCTTGTGTGGAGACGTGGAACGGATAGTGGTGTCCGATGCCGACTGCGACCTTTGCTTCTCGCAGGTGCAGTGGCTGATTTTTTGCGGACCCACTTCTTGACCAGTCTGGCCTCATGCTGCCGTGCCTTTGCCAGGGGAAGATTTGCTTTGGATTGGATGCCTGAAGTGTGCTGTTCAGCACACCAGGCATTCCATTCCTCAGAACTCCACAGCGACTCGTGAAGGGCTCTACCCAACAGCATGCCGGCACTTACAATCCGGGACAAAGGAAACTCAGTGGCCAGGTGGTGTTGCAACGCCGTGATATACATGAACTATTGCAACTTTAGAGCCAATGTCGATCTGTGCATGACATTTATGCTCCGGGTCCACGAATCAATTTCAGCATGCAATGCCTCATTACTGGCTGTTCCGCTTGGCAGAAACCACAAGTAGGATGATGGCATGGCATGTCTAGTCCTGATGTTGTTCATAAGCCACTCGATCCGATCCGGCGCACCGGCAGACCATAAGATGCGGTGGATCTCCTTATTAGGTCCTGCCGCTTTGCACACAACCTCGGACCTGTATTTGCAGCACAGAGCTGCAATGGCCTTGATGAACTCCAGACGATCTCGAAATGGAACTTCCTCATTCAGATTATCAAGTATCCCTGAAGTCTCACTCTGCGACATAGAGAACTCCAGCATTGCGGTCCTGCACATGTTCTCTTCGTCAGTGAGTGGTCTAGCCATACTACCATCATAAGCGTCGTGCCAATGCTCGACTGGCAGAGAGGAATCCACGGCAGTGCATTTTCTGAGGATGCGGCGAAGTTGTTTAGACCCAGGGCTTTTCTTGCTCCAGAACCCATATTCGTACACAATAGCCAAATGAATTGGGTCCAGCATCAACGACTGCAACCTAGGACATACCTCAGCTAGTGTTGAGAGCAATTTCTCCGATGGACTGTCCGTGCCGACATGTCGGAAAGACATCAGTTGCTCCTCCGAGAAGTTGTCTTTAAGGGCTTCAGCGATCTGCTCAGATGATTCATTCTGAATCGGCTGCATCAAGAGGACAGCCCCTGTCCTACCTCTCACGGTCAACAGCCGTCGCCATGCCACTTCGTCCCCAAACGGAGCTTCTTCTCTGATTTTTTTCGAAGCTCGATATGGCGCTTGTCCCGTCACCTTCATGCAGAGCTTGAGCGTGGCGTCCATGCTCACATAGTGCCACTCGTCTCTTCTGAGCAATGAACCCATCATCCTCTCCATTTTGCCTCGAAAAGCAGAAGAGGCAGCCACATCCTCAAGAATAGGCATCCAGTGCTGGGATCGACTCGGGAGGAGAGTCGAAAGTTTATTGCCGGCCTCTAGAGCTGCCATATGGCATCGCGTCGCCAAAGTTCGCACCTTCTTGCGGCAACGTACATACTAACAATAAAGTCTTTTATTCCAACACTGAAACTACGCTGTTTACAAACGCATCATGTCGTCAAATGCAGTACTATTGGACGCCAGGTGCCTGTGCATGACCCATCAGCATCTCTCGAATCAGCAAATCTGCAAAGGAATGTGTGTAGTACAGATATCGCACCCTTCTCACGTGCAGCGTGGAGCCGATACTTGTCAGGTTGACATACTGAGGGCCATCTGCATCGAGGACCAGTCTGATGTGCTTGTCGATGTTATTCTTCTTGGAGTTCAGGTCCGGCTGCACGGTGGCCCGCATTAATGCTGCACTTGTCTGCAATAGAAACTTTGCGATATCTTGCGACGAGGCCGCGTGGTCGTGCAGGGCGAGAATTACTTTAATTTGCTTGGTACCCGGAATTGAAATAATTGAAATCGGGCTCCCTTGGGTCCAGGAACAAAGAACCCCCCCATTTCAATCGCTTCAATAATTGAAATAATTGAAATAATTGAAACGGGCGTTATTTCAATTATTGCAATTATTTGGGGCCCCGAAGAATTGAAATAATTGAAATAGGCCCCATTTCAATTATTTCATTTATTTCAATTGTTGAAATGGGGGAGGGTTTGGCTGGGGCCAATTTTAAAAGGGAAGGGATTTCAATTATTTCAATTATTTGGGACCCCCCGAATTGAAATAATTGAAATCAGGCCTTCTCTTTTCAATTATTTCAATTATTTCAAATATTTCAATTATATATAAGATTAATAATTGAAATGAAGCGTCAAATAGACCCCAAAGGAGTCTCTCATATATATATATATATATATATGTATATGAGAACCTTATGTGAACTTTAGTGTGTACATAGGTTGTGCAAAATAAGCCGAATATTTATATATATATATATACATACATATATAAAGACAGAGAGAGAGAGAGAGAGCAACCGACTAAATACAAGGCACGAAGCATGAAAACTTCAAAATGAGTGTGTATATATATTATGACAACATATGCTTATGCATACATTTATACACAGATACGAAACGCAATACAATAAAACCGGATACCACATAAACTAATATAGACCAATACAAGTAGCAAAATATAACACTGTACAGCACGATACACCGAAAATACTGAAAGATAAAATCATGTCCTAATTTTACACAATATAATGCCGTTATGTGATATAACGTGATACAGTACAACATAACACAGTACGATACGTTACAACATGATGTAGTAGCTCCATTGTCATATATCATAGTTTTGTATTTTAGTGTAGTGTAAGATCATAGTGTAAGATAGTCGAATGTAAGATAACATAACCGTTTATGAGACAGTCTAACATGATGCAATATTATGCTAGCTACCGAGTATCTAATATTCTGTATTCTTTAATAGTATAGTTTATGGTTATATGTAAAGTTTATATTAAATTATGTTACGTCACATTTTATGAACAAGATGATACAATCTAGCGCAATGCAAAACGAAAGGAGATATACTGAAATAAGAAAGAGTTAACATGCTGACGTCTGATATGGTATGTTTGTGCGCCTATAAAACATTAACCAATGAAAGGTTGGAGTTGTTGGAGTGGTGTTTCGCGGCAGTTGTTGCGGGGTTTTGTAGAATTCTGTCTTTTCCACATGCGAGCAAGATCGCGTAGCCTTTGGCTGTTCGGGGGAAACGGAATTCTGTCTCGCCGCAAGCTATTGGGGAATCGTAATTTGTTTAAGGAGTGTTGTAATGAAAACATTCTAATGTGTTGGATCCTGCATTGGCCTGGCGGTACTAGCCTCGCTGTCTGCTCCGGATAAAAAGGCAAGGCGCGCCTTCTCGGCATGCAGTCTGTAGAGCAGTGATGGTGCAGAGCGTGCGAGAAGGAAGTCTTGAAAATGCTTGCGCTGGGCTTGGCTTGGCTCGGCTTAGGCGGGGGTGGGGGAGGGCCCGGCTTGGCCTCCCCCCCCCAAGCACGAACGGACGTGCACCAAGCACGAAACAACAAAATGTAGCCGCCTTGAAGGCACGTTACACAATCTCTCCTCAGCGTCTTGGATGACAATACGTGTGCTCTCAGGTGCTTTCATCATTAAGGGCTCCTTTAAACCCTAAACCCTAAACCCTAAACCCTAAACCCTAAACCCTAGACCCGAACCCCCCCGACCTCCCCAAAGCGCAGCAGGGACGTGCCAGGCTCGGGTCCCACCGACCCGCCGCAGGGCGTTGCAGTCATCTCCTCCTTGGTCGCTGGGGTGTTGGGGGTCTTTTTTAGGGTTTAGGGTTTAGGGTTTAGGGTTTAGGGTTTAGGGTTTAGGGTTAAGGGATGTAGAAGGGTTCCTTTAAAGGGAAGCTATAGGGTTTAGGGTCTTTTTTTAAGGGATGTAGAAGGGTTCCTTTAAAGGGAGTCTATAGGGTTTAGGGTCTTTTTTAAGGGATGTAGAAGGGTTCCTTTAAAGGGAATCTATAGGGCTTAGGGGCTAGGGGTCTAGGGGTTTAGGGATTAGGGTGTTTTGGAACTTTAGGGGGCTGAGGGTTTCAGGTTGACCGGCGGTGCTCTGGGACTTGCTTGGACCTAGATTTAGGGTTTAGGGTTTAGGGTTTAGGGTTTAGGGTTTAGGGGATTCTATACGATCCCAGAGACTCCAATACCCCTTAATTAAGGAATATACCTTAAATTACAGTAGGATCCCTAATATGATTTAGGGTATATTCCTTAATTAAGGGGTATTGGAGTCTCTGGGATGTACATCAATATGCCGCATTCATCTTGGTCTTTCCAATGAAATTGCGACAACTTGAAAACACACCCCTAAACCCTAAATCCTAAACCCGAAACCCTAAACCCGAAACCCTGATCCCTAAACCCTTAACCCTACTAAACCCTAAAATTCCTAATCCCTAATTCCTAAACCCAAAACCCTAAACCCTAATCCCCACTCTATTCCCCGCCTCTTTATCCCCTCCGCACTAACCCCCATCCTCCAAAATGTCCTTTGAGGGGGGCGGCGGGTGTCACCCGAAGATGCGCCCCCACCCGCCGCCCAACCCCCGGCCCCCCCCCCCCGCCCCTCCCCTGCCTTGCTTCCTTCTCCTCGTCCTCTCCGCCAACGGCACCCAGCAGTTCGTTGGCCCTCT